ATTGCAAAAGATGCAAATACTGTCGAAGCATGCTGGGAATTATATATTACAAAAGAAATGGTTGAAGAAATCGTACAATGCACAAATATCTATCTAGCAAAAATACGAGGTAACTATACGAGAGAAAGAGATTGCCGTGACACAGACGCTACAGAAATATATGCTTTTATCGGCCTCCTATACATGGCTGGGGTACGAAAGGCTCAATATCTAAATACTAAAGAACTTTGAGCTGATTCAATATTTGCTCCTGCTTGCTTTAGACTAACGATGTCACGAGAACGATTTCATATTTTAGGAAGAGCACTAAGATTTGACAATATCAATGACCGAAACGAAAGAAAAAAATACGATAATTTGGCTCCCATTCGAAACATATTTGAACAGTTTGTGTCCAAGTGTCAAGAAAACTACCAAGTTGGAGAGTATTGTACAGTGGATGAAATGTTGGAAAGCTTTAGAGGGCGATGTAAATTTCGGCAATATATAGCCAACAAGCCGGCCAAATACGGCATTAAAATATATGCCTTAGTTGACTCAAGGATGTTTTATACCTGCAATATGGAGATATATGCAGGAAAACAGCCAGTTGGCCCTTTTTATCTAGACAACTCTGCATCTGCTGTTGTTATGCGTATAGCAAATCCCATATTAAACACAGGTAGAAATATAACTATGGACAATTATTTCACGTCAGTGCCGTTAGCCAAACAATTACTTGATAGGAAAACTACACTTGTTGGTACCCTAAGGAAAAACAAGAGGGAAATTCCGCCAATATTTATAAATGTGAAAAGACCTGTACCTAGTAGCATGTTTGGTTTTCGAAAGAATACTGTATTATTATCGTATAAACCCAAACCTCAGAAAAACGTATTGATGTTATCTACATTTCATTCTGGGGACTACATCGATCCTGAATCTGGCGAACTGGAAAAACCTGAGATCATTACATTTTATAACCTAACAAAAGGAGGTGTCGATGTGGTTGATGAATTAAAATCAACTTATTCTGTTTCCAGATATTGTTGCCGATGGCCACTTAGAATTTTTTTTACAATTTTGGACGTTGCTGCTATTAATTCCAATATTGTATATAAAAGTAATACCGAAGTTATTGAAGAACGTAGAATTTATCTCAATCATCTGGCCGAAGCTTTGATTAAACCTCTGTTGATTCGTCGTTCATCGATCAGGTCTTTGCCAATTAATATTCGAAGCATGCTAAGGGAATATTTAAATATGCCTCAGATTGAACAGAACAGAGAATCTGTTCCAGATTTCTGTGGATTTTGTCCAAGAAGAAAGAACAGGAAGTCAAAAAAACGATGTGTTAGCTGCAATGTTGCCATTTGCACGGAGCATACCACCTTCACATGTCCAACGTGTTCTGGCGTAAACGATAATAGTGGTACTTCAGATGATTAAATTTTTGATTAATATTATGTTTATTTTATCTGATTTAAGGATAACATTAATTTAAAGATAGATGTAAAATAAAATATACAGGGTATTTTTTTTTTAGTTCTTAGCATTGTATAAGTTTTCTTTTTAGTATTTTTAATGTACTTATAACTCTATTTTTGGCATTTATTTTAAATAAACCCTTTTATTATTACCAATAGTTTTGTTTCATTTGCATAAAAAAAATAAAAACAGTTACACCGAACAAAATCTTGAAGGGTTCGTCGTGTGAGAGAAATTCTCACGCGCGAGTTCTCGCGTAATTTTTTAAGGCGCGAGTGATGCAGGGTTAAAGAAGGTTAACTCCATGCAATTTTGTAAGTTTTGTAGCAACAGAGTTTGTAAATGGCTAGGACACATGTAGGTTTTTTTTTATTCTTGTTCTGTGTAACTATTAATCTATATGTATATTTGTGCCATTATTTTTATAACTGTTTGTGGTAAGACACAATAAATGTTAAATTTTTTTTTTGACATTTTGTTTATTTAATAAATTATTTTGTTTAACATTTTATAACTAACACCATTTTTGAGTTTTATTTGAAAAATATATGTTTTTTATGTTTAATACTTATTTCGCTAGTTACAACTAGTGGTTGTAATAGGTATAATTAGGCACCTCAAAGTGGCGCCCTATATTAAATTACTAGAGGTGTTTCCTGTTTCTTTTTGCTTTGTTTATCCCAAAAAATTCATGACCTTAGTTTCATATTTTTGTAGTTGCTTTAATCTGACCCCTGCGTCATTTACTTATTCACGACCCCAGCTCTCCTAACAAACCCTGAGTGCCGTTCGCACAAGTAGCGTTTAAATTATTAAAGCAATTTTGCTTACCCTATCTCAGCCTCCATAGTTTCTGCCCTTATATTTCTAACCTTTGTATTAATACTCCATGTGGTAGGCAAAATATTTTCGTTACAAAATATCGACAAAATATATTTCATGGTCTTCTCACAAAACAATATTCTTATAAACTTTTTCTTAATTAATTATAGGGTTTAAATTCCAAATAGCTGTATACATAATTTTACTTATTAAGATTGTTGATTTATTATTTTTAACAGCCTTCGTAAGACAATAAGCTGATGTAATATGCTCTTTTGTAAAATGAGAAAACAAAATATTCTTCCCTTGTGACGTCACGACCTTCTCCTATTTACTAGAATATTTTAAGAAAATAAACTACAAATTTAATTCAGCCCTTAAATAATTATTTATGTTTCTATAAGCTGTAGAAAACATTCTCTCATTTTTAGGACATGTTTTCTGTAACGAGTACCATAAAAAACATTGTTTGGCCGCAGAAAAACACTAGAAGGACATCAGTAACAAAAACAATCCTCGTGGAATTTACAAAGGTAAATGCAATAGACCGTTAACTTCAGTAATTAATAAAAACTACAACTGGGGGCTTTAAACATGACTCCCAGGAGCTGGTGAAATTTGGTCGACTTACATTATCTCTGATCTGTGCTAGAGTCTAGGGCTAACTAACTCAGTTGAATTTAACTTTCAAATCAATCCACAAGACCAAGCAATTAATATAACACAAAATATTGTCATAAAACCTTGTAAAGACATTATCTATAGTTTGCCATTTACTAGTAAAAGTATAAGTGACTACTTATTACTTCCAAAAAAGTAAACAAATAAGTATAAACTCAATACCGAAAGAGTTTCCTTTTTTATAACATCAAAAGAGTATCAAAAGAGATTTGAAAAGAAACGTGCCTTAAACGATGTGTTCCGAAAAATATAACATACATGTTCCTGAAGAAGGTTCCTGGCGAGGATTTATTTATGTGTCATATGTGTTATACTGAGGAAAGCGATGATGGCGTTATTTCAGAAACTAAAAAGTGAAAATGGCAAAGTGTATAATGAAAAAGATCTTAACCATACAATGTGTAAACAATTTTAAAAAATAAAAAGTGAAGAGAATATCGAAAGAGATTATGAAATACAATTCAACCTTAAAATGTGGGAGGAGCCGAAAAAAATAAAAAGCAATAAAGCTTTATAGGATCAAGAACCAGAAAAAATTCAAAACACTTTCTTCCGCCTATGTAAGTGTTGATCTCTTGGCATTTCCTATCCCACATTTCTTTTTTTTTTCTGCTATTACTGTTCTTCCTGTTGTTCTTCGTAAATCCAGATATTTGTCTTTGTCTACTTTATGTTTACTACTTTGCCTGCCACCGTGCGTACGCTTTCTTTTTCTCCATTATAAGGTTTTGTATGTCTTCGGTCTACCATAGCTCTTTACTGTGTCGTTGAAATTTTAAACCAAGCGCTTCTTTTCACACTTGTCTATTCTATTTTTATACACTTCGTCCACGGATACTTTTTCGACTATGTCTACTAATTTTTCATTTAGTCTTCGTTGATATAGTGTTCTCATACTTTCATGTTGTAAGCTGTAGAGGTTGTAATTTGTTTTGTTAACAATTTCTGCGTGGCTCTGCGTAACTCTTCAGGTGGTTCTTTCGTTTTCTTGGATCTAAACGGAAAAACTATTTCGGACTTTACCATAAAGTAATCCGAATCACATAAATTTTTGGTTGCTTGGATCCATGTATATTTGTATATCTCCTTGTGTTTAAAAAATGCGTTTGTTATTTTTAGCTGATAGTTTTCGCAAATTTGAATTACTCTTTCACCATTGTCATATTGGGTTATTTCTCCATGCGGACCTACCACTTTGTTGTTTACCTTCTGCCCAACTCTACTATTCAGATCTCCTGCTATGATTACTTTTCTAGTACTTCCAATTTTAGTAATTTCGTCATTGATTTTCTCAAAGAATTTGTCTTTAACAGCATAAGGTTCATCATCAGGGATCGCATATATACCAAGAATAGTTACAGGTTTTTGGTTGATTGTTATGTTGATTCTTATGATATTTTTATCTACGGCTTCAAAGTTTGTTATTTTGCGTTGATGTTTTTATGTATCATTCGGATACACCTGTTTTTGCTCGCTGATGTTTTTTAACACCACTATAATTTCTATATAGTTCTTCAATGTCTATGTACCATATCCTTTTTCAGGTCTTTTCAAATTTTCTAAAAAAAATGATATAGGTACTAGGAATATTTACATCCCGTTAACTTAAAATATCATATATAGATGTATACTATGATCTGGCAGAGCAGAATAACATCTGTTGAAAATTACACCAGTGGCAGCGAGTTAGATCAATTACAGTTTTTAAGCGCCAAAAACTTTTTGTCAATATTTGAGAATTTGATGTATTTTGTTTTAGTTATAAAGATTGGGAAATGATTGCTGTCGTCGAGAAAATTTATTTTATTAAACACGTTTTTGCTGAAAGCCAGAAGATGTTTATTATCTAATGATTATGTGTTTAATATATAAGATATATTATTAAATAAGAAATAATAGCAGCATTTTCCGTATCTAATTAAAATTAATTTAAGTCTGCTTCGAAAGAGCGTCTCCCATCGGAATTAATTTTATTATACAGCTACAATTAGATTACAAATAAATTCATTTAATTCATGATTCCACAAGTTTTAGGGAGCTCCTAAGAAATTGTGTATCATTAAAGTCTTGATTACTAACCAACGTGAATGGCATAAAACTTTGTCAAAGATCTTTGTGAACAGAATATTTTATGAGTCTCGTTCTGTTTAAATAGATTTGACGAAAGTTTGTGAATAAATTTCTAACATTTTGATTCGTAAATACCCTTCAGGCGAAATAAATAAAATGCGCACACCGCTAATTTTATCGGGAGTTTAATATTTTCATGGGGCGGTAAATAGCTTTACGTCATGCTCCGAGTTATGAACTTTGTATTCATGTTCGCTGTACGTACAACATTATTTTTTTAAGCTAAAAATCATAACAGAGGGCTGTTTTACTTAAAAGCAAAAGTTAATTTTGGTATTAGTTAGAAAATCATTACACGTTTGTAGATGATATTTTTGGTACTTAGTTTCACTCGAAACATCGACGCAAGTACTGTTTTTGTTTCAGGTCGCAAATTCCTACTTAAAACTGTAATTAAAATCTAGCACAAGCATAGATTTTACACTGGCTTTGTTTTTGCAAAGCATACTTTTACGTTAATAAAAAAAGCATAAAGATATACTGTAAATATAAGGGGAGTATATCGTCGCCCTAAAGTGTTAACCTGCTAATTCCGTTTTACCCAATTTTACAGTAGAAGCCAAAAACGATTTTGCAGCAATTTTTTTTATAAAAATCATTGGAAAACAATAAAATAGTGCTTAAAACTAGTATAATAAGTGTTGTATCATTAAAACTATTATAAACTATACTAATAATTGTAGTTTTTATTATTTTTTGGGAGATAGCTGGATATCAGTTTTTCAAATTCAGCTAATAATGGACTTGGCAGTTTAACGCAATCAAACACGCGTATTCTATACGCAACAAAACCTTATTATTCTAAGTACAAAAAGGCTAAAAACAATCATCATCATCAGTGGTGCTACAGCTCTAGTTGAGCCTTGACCTTCCCCAGTCTATTTCGCCAGTCGTTTCTGTTCATCGCCAACCGTTGCCAATTTGCCGCGCCGATCTTCTTTGCGTCCTCGTCCACACCGTCCCTCCATCTCAGTCGTGGTCTGCCTCTACTCCTATTTCCCACTGGGACCGATAATAGAGTTAGTCTGGGTGGGTAATTTTCATTTGCTCTTGACACATGTCCAGCCCATCTAAGCCTACCTATTTTTATGAAGGATATTACATCTCTACCATTTACTATTTTTTTATACTTCTCGTACAATTCGAAATCATATCGCCTTCTCCAAATACCATTCTCACAGAATGCGCCCATTATTCTTCTTAGTATCTTCCTTTCGAAGACGAGCAGAAGATTTGCGTCTGTTTTGGAGATGGTCCATGTTTCTGACCCATATGTCAGCACTGGTAGGATGAGTGTTCGATATATTATTAGTTTGGTTTTCTGGCTTAAATTTCTGTTTTTTAGCTGCTTGCTTAGTCCAAAATAACATTTGTTTGCTAGCAGTACCCTCCGTTTAACTTCTTCAGATGTGTCATTATCGTTTGTTATGAGAGAACCCAAATATGTAAACTTATTTACTACCTCAAAATTATATTGGTCTATACTGAAGTTTTGTTCGGCGTTTCTAGCTCTATCTCTGTTATTTGGAATAGATGCTAACATTTTGGTTTTTTCCTCGTTTATTTTAAGGCCCATATTTTGTGCGGCTGTCAAGAAGGCGGAAGTCATCTCTTTAAGTCCTCGTGTAGTACGTGCGATCAAATCCAGATCGTCAGCGTAAGCCATAGTCTTTTCTAACGCTATTTTAAAGAGAAGGCACGCCAGCGCGTCTCCCTGCCGTAACCCTGCATATGTTTCAAACGCTTGTGACATATCGGCTTGTATTTGCACTCTGCAGATCACTTTACTCATAGTTGTTTTTAGTTTTTAGAGCCTTATTAATTTATGGGGAATGTTAAGTTCATTCATGGCTTCGTATAATTTACCTCTTAGGACGCTATCATACGCTGACTTAAAGTCCACAAAGAGATTGAACGTGTCAATATTAAATTCATTGGTTTTTTCTAAGATTTGACGTAGCACAAAAATCTGGTCGATTGTTGACCTACCTGGCCTAAAACCGCTTTGATACTCACCAAGGATTTCTTCCACGTACGTACTTAAACGGCTGTACAGGGTATTGGAGAATATTTTGTACATTGTATTCAGAAGAGTTATACCCCTATAATTTTTACATTCCAACAAATCTCCCTTTTTGTGTAGTGGACATATGATTCCAGTGCACCATTCCTCTGGCATTTGTTCTTCTTCCCAGACTTTGACTATTATGTTGTGAATTTGGTGCATAATGCTGTTACCTCCATGTTTGATGAGCTCTGCGGGGATACAATCCACTCCTGGGGACTTGCTATTTTTGAGTCGTGTGATTGCGTCTTTCACTTCAAATGTTGAAGGAGGTTCTACGTGAGTGACAAAAAGGCTAAAAACAATAACGCTACTAATAAGAAAGATCATCATAAAATTTATGGTAGTCTGCCGACAATGTTGTCTTGATTGCCTGAAGGTCTTAATATTTTTTGGCGGTTGTTTTACGTCTTTCCAGGTATAGTCGCTTTAATTGGTCCCAAGAATGTGAATTAATTTTGTTGTTCTTCCGTTGAGGAATTGTTTTCCATTGATCTGCAAAGCTGGCTTTATAATAAATTTCACTTTAGGTGTATACCTCAGAGCACGAATATTTGTAACTTTTAAATCACCTTTGTCTCTTCCTGGTCTAATTGTTTGATAATGCTGAATTGAATCAAAATTTTTGAAAAAATCATGTGTTAAATATTTTACTTGCTAGGGAGTAGACTTTCTTCTTGCTTTTTGACAGATAGGTACGTAATCCGCTGGTAAGTTAATGACTTTATCTTTGAGCTTTTGTTCGATGGCTGCATAAACAGAATCGACTTCCATCTGCATATGGCCAGATTCAAGGTACTTTTGTTCTATTATTACATTATGAGTGATTGCTAGATTCAACAGAACATTGGCCATAACAGCGTTCCTATTTTGGTACCCACAACCGTCCGTATACATTATAATGGTGTTTCTTTCATCAGTCCCTTCTACAGAATGAGGGACACAGGGCAAAATTTTCTGTTCTATGAAATACATCCAAATACTTGCAAACTCCTTAGAACCAAGACCTCTTTCACATTCGTTCCATATGAAACAATAGGCATCGGAATTCACTAAGTTATAGAAACAGAGATTATGTACTTGGAGCTTTGTTTTGTAGTATAATGTGGAAACTTTTGATTTTGGTGCCATCAACACGGCTTGCAAATCTGCTGTGAAAACATTTTGTTTCTCCTTTTTATCTTTTTCTTTTTCTTCTCTTGCTTCTACTTTCCTCTGTACGTGACTTTTAAATTCTTCTTCCGAAAGTTGTCCAACCCTATAGCTCACACACTTTTCACATTCATCTTTTTTAGGGCGGAAAAGTGCAAAGTTCTTTTCATCGAAGGTTTTAGAAAACGATGCTATCGAAGGGGGCTCTTCTTTCCGCGATTTGCACCAATCCTTGCTATAAAATTCGTAAACACTTTGCCGAGACTGCCATTCAGCCAAAAGATATTTTTTTTGAGATGATGACCTGCAATAATGTGACTCCATAACCGGTAACGAATCTAAAAATGGCAGCATTTACGATTATGAAAGGCCTTACTTCATGGGTCGACTTGCGTATAATGCTTGGAGCTTATACTCCATAAGAACTTTTGCAGCTAAGAATTGTCCAGCGACCAATTACAACAGTATTAAGAAACATGGTTCTACATACTCTAAAACTTTCTTCTTGAACCGGTAGAAAATATTCTAAAGTTTGTCCTCTTTTCGTCTCGTTTTCTTTTTTTCGGTTCCGATGCCTTTTGGTCGTTACAGATTTAACCTGATTATTAATAAAAACTTTTTTTCTCCCCAAGACATTTGCCAAAATTACTTGAAAATACGTTGCATTTTATGTTCAATGATCAAAGAACATTTCATAAGATCTCTTTCTTTCGATGCACATTTGCATCTTGGTTTCATAACCCGTGCTTCTTTAGGATTATCATAAGACCATTTTTCATCTTGTTTCACTCTGCCAAAATAAGGTTTACCACTTTCTCTTAATTTTTTGTTTTTCTGACTAAACCATGTAGCCTCCTGGACTTGGAAACGTTTTTTTCGTTTTTTACTTTTTCTTTTAGGTTCACCTAAAGAAGAAGTTAAATCTGTGTCCGAATATGGAACTAAATTAATACTGACTTTGCTATCATCAGATATTCCTGATATTGTTGATTTTTTAGTAGAACTTTGGAACTGATTTTAATCCTCATCATTTTTCTTGAGGTTGTTGACTTCCGATATTGGTATCTCTTCGTTTTCGTGTCTGTTGGGGTTTCCAACCATCTGGTTCTGGCTCTCGTTTGAGTATATTAATTCGTCAAAGGCTTCGGTTATTGGTATCACTATATCCGAGGCTGTATCATCGTTTTCATTTCTTGCATCATACATCTGGTACGGGTTCAAGTAGCTTAATTCATCGGTACTTTCAGGTGGTTGATTTTGGCAGGGAATCTCTATTATATTAATACTATTATTTAATGAGTTGGAAGTAGACAGTAGATCAACAAAAATTAGTTCAACATTTTCAGTAAGTTCAAGATTATTACTTGCTTCGTTTGCTTCCACAGTAAAGTTTGTATATTCATTGAGGTGAACTTTTTGATTTTCATCTTCAAAGATATCTATGTGTGTTGTTTGTACCATTTCTATCATCCGCCTAGAACGTGACATCTAAAATAAAAAAAACCTCATGACTATTTTATTAAATACCAATGAATTTTTATCAATAACCGAAAATATTTACACAAGAGATATTATGTTACAAAAAAGTTGTAGGTAGTAATGTTTTATGGGGTTTTCGACTACCAAGACTATCACATTTCACTGAATTGTGAGAGCCATTAGCGAATATAAACATTAAACAAAAATCAGGAATTGATGGTCAACTTTCAAAATGATTATAAATATTTTTTTCTATTGAATCTTGTTCCAACAGTAAATATAATTAAACATTTTCCTAAAATGATTACTTAGTTCCACTCTTTTTGCTTTTTTAATTGATGAAAAGCTGCTATATGCTGGTTTGTATAACAATATCTGCACAGAAAAACAGAAAAGTCCCTTAATGGAAAGAAACAAGGTTTATCGTGAAAATAGTAACACATTTTTTAACCAAATTTAACCTAAATTAACCATTTAATACACATGTACACTTACCTTCAATAAACCACTCAAATAATTATAAAACTTTAGGAAAAACTGACACGGTAGTGTTTACGCGGAAAAATCAAAGCAATCGGAGTTAGCTGGTATACAAATCATATAATATTTTAGGTTTTAGATAAAAAATGTGACTTAACTGTTTAACTAATCGATAGACAAAATAAATACTATTTTGAAGATGGTAAAAACTCATTTTGACTAAAATGTGGACTTAGCAGATTAACACTATAAGGCGACGATATTTATAGTTTTAAAAAATAAATGGTTTTTAACCCTCAGTTAGGCACGTGGTCGGTAATATTGTAATTGTAGACCACTTTTCAAACACTTGTGGCTCTTCGTTGTCTGTTACCTGCGCACGCATCTTAGTAGCTCTTATTAAGGGGCCTCTTATTTTAATAATATGGTTGTATTTGTGTTTGATACTTCAGTTAGTACTTTGTCAAGCATAAGACAGTACTGGTCTACGACTGTAGACACTGTGCTACTAAAGTTATATCATCTGGCTATACGGCAAATATTTGATTCTGTTGTTTTCAAAAGTAAAAGTAACTTTTATTTATCATCATTTGGTATATTTGTAGTTACTGTGTTAAATTTTAGATAATAATATGTGGAACGAGCAACGACACAGAACTTTGGTCTCGATGGTTTGATAAGATATCAAGTAAAACAATTATTTATAAAACATAGTAAGTTATGAAACTTAACTTTTATAGGAGGAACAAACAACAAACCGTTTTCGGTATATGAGATGTTATAAATTATTATTAAAATATAGATATTAACTGGTAGTGGAGTGTTGTTTATAGAAACTGGTGGTGCGACATCTTTTTTTAAAGTAAACGTTATTTGTGTTGATTTTAAACAGTTTACTTGGACTCGCCACAGTTTAAGCCAGCTCTCTAGTTTAAGTAGGTGATTTTGTAATACCTGGTATGCTTCAGTTGCTGTAGAATTTGAAACCATGATAGTTATGTCATCGGCATATGTAGCGATTGTGGTATTGGTCGTCGTTGGGAGATCTGATGTGTATGTTAAGTAGAGGGTGGGTCCTAGTATGCTTCCTTGTAAAACTCCGGAACAAATTGTAAACAGGTTAGTGTTTTTCCCACCTCTTTTGACTTAAAAGAATCGATCTGTCAGGTAGGATCTTAAAAGTAAGCTTATGGGAGAAGGAAATTTGAATTTAATTTTAGCGATAAGACCTACATGCCAAACTTTGTGGAATGCTTGAGAGACATCTAGAAATGCAGCAGTACAATACTTAAAAAAAAGGTTAGTCTTCGTAAATGGGTATATTTATTTAAAAATAAATATATATACCCATTTACGAAGACTAGCCTCTTTTTTGTGATACGTGGTATACAGCCAGCTACAGGAATTTTTTTGTTGTGGATAATTTTTTTGTTCGAGCAAATTTCTGATAGTCTTTACCACTCTATAAATTTGCTCGATAGTACCTAAAAACAAAGTAATAATTCGGTAAAACATTACTGTCATATAAAATATACAGTCTGGTCAGAAAAAGCCGTTCAAATACTTTGGATGGATATAATAGGCAACACGCTAATTGGGCGATATGAAGATACTTCCGTGTGATCCTAACTGGGTTTTGTTATAAGTAAAATTTCAGCAACTTTTCATGAGAGTGAAAAATAACCTATTTTTAATATTGAATTAAATATGTGAGTAATTAAACTTACGCCTTCGTTGGGTAGATTTTTTAAAAATAAACTAGATATATTATAGTAACTTGACCTTTATTCTACTATGTATACACAAAACGTTCATTTATTTGGAAGTATTTTATTACTCAAATTTCAGGCGACAATTCTGAATTATTTACGTGCCCAAAACTATTTCTTCCAAACTGATAAAGAAATTTGCAATTGTTTGAAAAACAGGTAAATAATGATAAAAACAGGGATTATAGTAATTGGACTATTTATGTATAAAAACAGTATTTATAAGAAATCTAAAATATGTTAATCAGTTAAAAAACAGCATCACTCCAATAACAATTTCTTTCATATCAAATGTCAACAGGGCAAGTATTTTCCTCAGAAAATTTCAGATTTTCTTCTTATTTCTAATTATTACTCAAGTAAATATTAATAATATTTTTCTCTTCCGGAAATAATTAATCGACAAAATTTAATCGATCATTGCATAATATTGTTTTGTCTATAAAAATTAAATTTGTTAAAAATTTAATAAAACTGAAATTGTTTTTATGTTTATGTATTATGTAAAAACCAGTATAATCCCGCAGTATACTTTACTGACCATAGTTTGACTTTCAACCACGATTATATAACGTCAGGGTGCCAAGGAAAAAAATGGTATACTTGTATTTTTAAGACATTGTTCCTCTATACAATCATTATTGAACATAGAAACTCAAGCAAAAATATTAACTGGGAGGGGCCGCTTTGCTCACACAAAACCACGTGATTCGTTACCATTGTTACTGTATAACTTATAGACAATTGGTATAACCACAAAACTAGTTTTCAATGTTTTGCAGATTATATTGTGTCCGGCAAATCTCCATTTCAATTTTGCAACTTCTTGTCTAACATCCCTCATTTTTGTTTTCTCTCTTATCCACTCGTTTCTCTTCTTATCCATTAGTCTTATGTGCAACATCTATCTTTCCTTTGCTCTTTGGGTTTTTTTAATTTTGTCCATGTTTGCTTTTGTAGTTGTCCACGTGAACCATAAGTAAGAACAGGGAGTACGCATTGATTATATACTTTGGTCTTAAGATGCTGTGGATATCTTTTGTTTTTAAGAATGTAGCTTAGTTTGCCAAATGCCGCCTATGCCAGTCTAACTCACCTTTTGATCTCTGCTGTTTGGTTCTCTTTGTTAAGTTTTATAGTTTGACCAAGATATATATAATCCTTAACTTGTTCTATTTCATCTTGTCCGATTCTCACTGTGATGTCTTCATCTGTATTTGTTATAGTATTGGTCTTGCTGTAATTCATATTAAGGCCTATCTTTCCAGCTTCTACGTCCAGTTCTTTCATCATTTCAAATAATTCTTCTTTTTTGTCGGTTACTCATTTAACGCCTATGATGGTCGCCAACCTTCGGTAGAAGACGGCACATAAAGAAGAAGACTCATTTAACGTAGTTATTTTGTACCTAACTTCAAAAACTATTTCACAATACCAATTTTTAGGCACGTTACCACGTAAGTTATGACATGGATTCATTTAAGTATAGTTATGAAAAAAATACTGCTTTCTTTGGAAATATATATACTTAACTAGATGACTAGTGACGATAACTGTACCTAAAAAGTATATAAATTTTAACATTGTGACATACCACCTTATATCATATCAAAGTGACTTTTTAAT